TCATTTTTATTTAGTAATTATCATTGAATAATGAATATTGAATTTAATTTTCTTTATAATGTCTTATCTTTTATGGAAGATTCAAGGAAAGGGAAACTTACATATTACTCTTTATGATTTTACATGTGTTGAATTTTGTTGGTTTTCCCATTGTTGGCTTTGATGGTTGAAATTTTTGAAGAAGTAAATATTGGTGTTCTTAGTCTTTTATTGTTCTTGGTAGAATGAAAATAGAAATTGATGATTTTAATTCCTTGAGTGGTTACATGTTGCTTAAATTGATGAATCTAGGTTGATTAACATGTGTATATGTTGAAATTCGGGCTTCTTGGTGATGTGTGGGTAAAGGGAGATTTGGGAGAACCCAAATTGCAATTCTTTAAAGTGTAGAAATTGCCATCATGTTGGGTGCAACTAGAGCTGTCAAAACAGGCTAGCCTGGCCATGTGGGCTAGCCCACCTTGACCCACTTTAAAAATGAGCCAACCCAACCCGACCCACTTTTGATTTTTTCAAAATTTTTCTGGCTCGACCCAGCTCACCAAGGGTTGGTGGGTCATACGGGCTAGCCCACCAACCCACCAAAAAAATAAAAAGAAATTGCCAACAAATTTCAAATAAACTATAAATTAACATAATAGTCATAAAATTAACATTATTAATAGTCATAAGTCATAACTCATCATACCAAAATTAAATACAAACCATGATAAAAGTCCAAAATAAAAAGTTTCAATATTCCATCATACAAAATTAACTACAAACCATAATCAAAGTCCAACTCCAAAATAAAAAGTTTCAATGTCTCATCATACAAAATTAACTACAAACCATAATCAAACTTCAAACTTCAAAATAAAAGTTTCAATGTTTTATCATACAAAAGTATTGCAAAATAAACTTAATTAGAGTCTTGCACGAAAATGTCAATAACAGTTTCTTCTCTTTGCATATCCATTTTATCTCCATCTACAAATATGAAAAAAAGTGTTAGGATGAGCTATTGTAAAAATAAATAAGAAATTTCTCATTATAAAAATTACCTAATTCTTCAAAACCATGTAACCAATTTTGAGTTAGAATGAGTAACTCTACATTTTCAGGAAGAATGGTAGAGAGATACTTAGTTAGCACCCGAGACCCAAGGCTAAAAGTAGATTCACTAGAAACTGTAGTGATTGGAATACTCAACACATCACAAGCCATCTGAGAGAGGTTTGGATAACAATCATAACGATCCCTCCAATAAGCTAACACATCTAACTTTTCATGCAACTCTGGATCAAGATTTCCTTCCTCCAAATATAGATCCAATTCAGATTTTCTATTAGTAGTAGCATTTTGGCTCAAATAATCAACATATTCCTAAGACATTATAAAGACAATTAAATTCTACTCATCAGAACTTCACAGTTAAGCGTGCTTGACCTGGAAATTAAAAATTAAAAAAAAAATTAAAATTTCTGATGCATTTTTCCGTTGGAAATTTTGACAGCAATTTCCGATGGATTTTTCCGTCAGAAATTTTGACAGCAATTTCCGACGGATTTTTCTGTCAGAAATTTCCGACGGATTTTTTTGACGGATTTTTCCGTCGGAAAATTATTTCCGATGGATTTTTTTTTCCGACGCCACTTTTTCCAACGGATTAAAATCCGTCGGAAATCCGTCAGAAAAAGAAAAATCCATCGGAAATTTACCTATTTCCGTCGAAAATCAACATTTTTCTTGACTTTAATATATAATTCCAAAAACATTCATTTATATATATATATAGATATAATTTTCCAATTCCTTTTCAAATACTATAAAGTCATAAACACAAAGAGCAAATATCAATTATTGCTAATAACCATGTGCTACATTGCACACTTAAAATTTAAAAACATATGCATTCTCTTGACATTAAAACAATTTAAATTCGCGTAGTCAATGACTTACGCACAATAAATGACTTAATCATTCAATTGAATTAAAACAAATGATTTCAATTGAAAATCTTATATGTGCTCATACATGATAAGAGTAATTGAAATCTTTATATATACTCCATGAATTAAGAATCAACACGATTCAATTGCAGTAAACCAAATTTTATGCGCACATAATTGGAGAATTTTGTAATGAATTCACTTTACTATGTGCACGTTGGCATATTCATATTAAAACAATTTCATTCAAGTGAATTGCAAATTAAAGACATATAACTATTATAGAGTAAAAAAAATATTTAATGAAAAAATATATTATCTCTAACTTTGCTATATTTAATATTATATTTAACATAATATTTAAATATTAGTTAATTAAATGAGAACTTACGAGATCACACGTATTAATAAAAATTTGGAGTAAATCATTAAATAAAATAAAATGTAGTTTAATGATTAATTAATTAAATTAAATTAAATTAATTGATAATAAATTTAATTAAATTGGATAAAAAATTGAACTTATATTGTATAAATACAATAAAAAAATACAAATTAAGTTTATCAATAGTCTATAAAAGGACACATATATTGTAATGACAAGTTCTTCTAATTTATTTTGATATATATTACAAAATATCATATTATTTTAGTAATTTCTAATTTATTTTGATAAGTTTGTTGATAAAATTTATCATTTTTTTTTGTTTTGGTAAAAATAGCTACTTTTATTTTTTAAACCTTATATACCTTAATTGGTTTAGTTTCTCATGCCTTTTATTTTATTGTAGTCTCTTATTTTGAAATGTCTAATTAATTGTTTCTTATTAAAATTTTCTGACTCCGTTAATAAAATTATTGACTTATTTTAATACTTTACTTACCATAATGATGATATTTGTTTTCTACATATCAACAAATCATTGATCCAAAAACAAGTACTATAAATGATTGAGCGTGATCATATGGAAGCACGGTGGTCAAAGGTGTGAGAGCATGGTGGTACAATAGTCATGTGCTAGTTATGGCGACTGTATGGTTAGGATAAATTTTCTGGAATACAGTATTTAGTTTGGCAGAAGAGGTTGTTGGGTTCTTAACCATTTATTTTGGCATTACTCGTATGAAAATGTACAATGTGGTGGTTGATTGATTGTGGTCCTACACGAGTTTTGGCAACTTAGAAACTCATAATGGTTGGATTGGAAAGGAAGCAAAGTCAAAGGTGTGGAGGATGAGTTGTTGAGAGCTTTGGAAATCATGTTGATTGGAGTAGGATTATTTATCGGAGAAAACTTTGGTTCATTACTTTGAGTGTGGGTAATGCTTTTGTTTAATGAGAGTTACAGTTTTTAAATATATATATATATATATATATATATATTATCAAAATAAAATTTTAATTTTATTAGGAAATAACATCAGTCATAAAAATATTGTACTTAATTTTTCTCCTTATTTATAACTCTTTAAAAACTTGAGCACAACCTTACTTTTTAATTTTGTACTCAAGTATACTTAATTATAAATAAAAAAAAAGCTGTACTTAATTTTTCTCCTTATTTAATGATCTTAGCAAAATATCTTCTGTATAATCCCCTTTTACAGAGTGTTTAGATTTGGTGGTTTAGGAAGGAGAGAAACAAAAGAGTAAAATTAGATTTGGAGTAACTTTGAATAGTTAATTGTTGTTAAAAGACAAATACAAAATAAGTTTTTGCTAAATTTTGCTGGCCTACGCTTTTAAGAAATCGTGTGTGCTTTGGTGATGCTTGAAAATTTTCTTCCTAAAGTAAAAAGCCCTTTAGCACCATTTGTTTCCATAGGTTTCTATTTTTCTGTGATTTATTGATGCTAGAGAAGAATGTTCTAGCCCTTAATGTGTTCTTGTTGTACGCCCCCAAATAGCTTTCTCTATAATATGATATGCTCGATTCTTTTGTGATCTTTTAGGACTTGGAGGAAACAGCTGAAGGGTGGCAGGCATTGGTGATATATATATATATATATATATATATATATTATTTCTTTAGAGAAATATATTAAATAATAGTTGTTGGGCATGACAAGGGTCTTGTTTAAGTATTCCATTGGTGCTGTTACTTCTTGACAAGCTCTAACAAAAGAAATATTTGTAATGAATTTTGGAATCATCTTTTATGGGAAATAGAATAAAGGAAAGTTTAAATGTGCATTATCTATTATAATATTTTAAAAAAAAATAGTATATCCAATCGTGGATATGTGCCTAAACAGAATTGGAGACTCATACTTAATCAGAAATTGAATTCTAGTTTTTAATTAAAAAACATAAATACCAAACCAACTAACAACATTTGGTCGATTATCTATTATATAATGTTACAAATTCAATACTATCATTAAATTTCTTATTCTAAACTTTTCAAACTAGTAGAAACCTTATGATAACAATATAAATAACTATTGTTAAGTTGTACGATGCATAAGATAATTATATATTTTATATATTATAAAATTCATATTTTTAATCATAAGTTAAATTATAAATTTATATTAAATAATTTATATTATAATACAAAATTACATTACCTATTTATAAGTGTTTTAAAAAATATTAAATTAAAATTTGAAAATAAAGATAAAATGATATATTAAAAGTTAACCAGCTAAGAAAAATCTCTATAAATATTACTGTTGAAAACAAAGTTTTTTTGAAAGGCTATTGAAAAACTAACTCCTAAAATCACTCATTTAAAAGTTATTTTAATTTATATATAAGAAAAAGCATTTGTAAACTATTTTAAAGAAAGAAATAATAAGACTGATATTTTAAGGGATTAAAAATAACTATCTTTACTCGTTTTGAAATTTATAAAAGAAAAGGTGATACTAATACTATTTAAACTTAAAAAATAACTAACTTTTTTACAACTTAAAAAAAAAAGTGATATCCACAAGATTGTTCAATTGTTTTCCTATCACGAGAACGAATGTAAATTTGACAGGTACAGGTAAAACTGATCTCGAGCACAGTGATTTTCTATACACGCAACAGCACAAACACACATACAGTTGAAAGAACAAAAATGGCTCCAAAGTCAAATAGTAAATATTTGGAAGTTTAAGCAGGATTGTTAACATTACTTGCAAAACTAAGTTCTAAACAGAAGTGCTCATGTAGCCTACATTTTCTATTCTGGGGTACTGTCTGGTAAATATTACAAACAAATAATGACATGTAAAATCATAAGGGCAATTACAATTGAGGGTTAATGATATAAATTAGTATAACAAGGAAAAAAAACATTATATCCTATTCTCAATTAAGAGACCGGGCCATTGATAAGAAAATTCCAGCTGCAGATTCGTCTTAATTAAGAGTCTATCAAATTTTGCCGTTACCATCAAACACTACACTGAGAAACTGAAATGTGTTGCTGCTTTATTCAAGGTTAGCAACTGCTTCTGGCCCACACACCCGTTCCAACTCTTCCTGTTTAAAGCAATCATGTTCAAATCATAAAATTTGAGGTTGTGACATGTCAACCTATAAATTGCACTGCACAAAAAATAAAGGGCCAATGCTTGTGAAGGAAGAATTGTAAGAGAAATCTACCTTGATAGAATTATTTTCAGATGTAAGCTTCTCGCATTCTTCAGAAAGTCTCTGAAGCTCTTCTCTGAGAGTTCGATTCTCACTTCCCAGCGTCTCCACTCTCTTTTGTAACTCTTCACACTCAGCCTGGTTGGTACAAGAAATGCAAAACACACCATTTTTGGTATTTTGTAAACTGTATAATGATAGTACCAATATACATAATCAAATAATATATCTAGCCTCTATATATGGTGCAATCAAGGATCTAATTATAGTGCAGTTAAGGATACTTCTAACTGGCTTTAGAGCATATTTGCATACAAGCTAAAAAAGCACAGTTTCTCTACTGAAAAAAAAAATTCTTTATTTTCAGTAGAAAAACTTTCAAAAGCTCTTTTAAACTTGTATTTAAATAGACTCTTATTCTCTACTTAAGAAGGGAGCATGAAGTATATATAAGGTTGTTACCTGCTTGCGTAATCTTGACCTCCTGGCTGACTCTCTATTCGACTGTTTCCTCTTCTGTCTCTTCAGCTCACGTTCATCCTACCAAAATCAAGAGGAGTCGTTATGTATAGTTCAAAGGAGAGGGAAGGGAGAATAAATAACTAATTTACTATTATAACCTTACAGTAGTTGGTAGACTAATAAAATCAATATACTCTACTCAAGGACTCAAACTAAGGATAATTTAGTCAATGGAGTCTATTAACTTCAAGCATCTTTCCCTTCCTCCAAAACCCAATATTGGAGGGGAAGCAAAAAAATAAGAGGGGAGGGATTTAAGCCCCTAGTTTCCCTCTAGGCCATTCCCCTCCATCGGGGGCTTGGTCTGATAAAGATAGCTAATATAAAATGTAAAGAAAGAAATATGATAACGAATTTCCATATGCAGAAACAAGTATCAAGAAAAGCATTTTTTTCAAATATGTTGGTATAATAAGCATAAGGATATAAAATGTTGACCACAAAAAGCAATCGTGCTTGGAACAATTTCTAAGAAAAATGACTGTGGGACTCGTACTTGTATCCATTGTTCACCAATAGCAACTCCTGGGGCACCGGATTGACTATGTCTCATTTTTGCAGCTTCGGCACCACCAGAAGATGCATTCCACAAGTCCATTCCAATATTAAGATTAGTTGCAGGCATTGAGACAGCAGGCTTTCCAGGCACAGAAGATTGAGAAATGGCACCAGCAGAATTGTTCTGTGCATTGGCTCCTGAAAAGTTGATGGAAAGGTAACACATCTCAGCAACTGAGAAGAAAAAGGAAAAGAAAATCATGGATGGAGGTGATGCATACCATCAACAAGCATCAGCTCAAAGCTTCCCTTCTTATTTGTAGCTGATTCCTATGAAGAAGTCATCAAACAAACCAAAAATAGTTTAGAAAAAATTGATATGCTTTTAATTAAACCAATCCAATTCACACTTTTGCTGTGAGCATCAAAATAAAAAAAGAAAGATAATTGTAAAAGAAAAATGGGGCTCATATAGGTTTCAGCAAGTTAATTATTTAAAAAAGCAAGTGAAAGCACATTTGGTAATTGCAATCTGTTATGCACCTGTTGGTTAGTATTCTCTTCACTAGCATTTGACGAACCCTCTGAACCACTTTCGCCACTGTTTAATAATATTTTTTAATAGAAAATCATGTTAAAGTTGCAAATTGAAGAGAAATAAAAATAAAGATCTAAAATTAACCAGTTGTTTGCCAAACCTTTGTGACATGCCATCATTGCCTGAACCGGAGCCTGCCTTTCCACTCTCTCCTGCCTTGGAACCTGTATTTGCAGAAGTTCCTTTCAATTTTTTGGATGAGTCCCGCTCTTTTCCATCAGTCCCCTTCCCTTCAATTACTGTACTTTGCTGGACAGCACTTGGAGTCTAGCATAATGATTAGCAAAAAAGAACAAAATCAGGAAAGATTATGAATTAAAAAGCCCAACTATGATAAAGGTAGTGAACATAGTTGCCAATAAGCAGATGAGAATATCATCCTTTTTCTGCTCAGTCATAGAGGCATAGCAGGGATTAGAGAGTGAGCAGGTGGTTTACCACTGCCATGCTAGGATGAGCATAGATACTCCCAGGAGGATATAAAGCTGGATATGGGACTGGAGTCCCATATGGTGGCATCAAAGGATGCTGGAAAAATTAACAAAATTGTAAATGAGAAGATTCTCTTCCATAAAGTATAATGGCATATATCCCAAATGATTTACTACATTTACCTGGCTTCCCCATAAATAGGGATGAGGAGTTGGGGAAGCAACAGTTGAGGCAAAAAAGGGAGGTGGAGTGGCTCCAGGAGCATAATAGGCCTAAATAAAAAGCACATGCATTAGTTATCAACAGGAGCTTCAACAGAAATGAAAGTCTGATGAAACCCATGTAACATATATTCCACTACCTGCACGGAGCCTGACCAATCAGGATAAGCAGGTACTGTTGGTGTCTCCTGCTAATGTGAACAGAGAAGATAAGCTGACAACGGACAAGCAAAAGAAAAAAGTGCAGGAAGATAGTAGGGAAAAAACCTGAGTTGATGAAGATGATTTAGAAGGTTTAGGTGTGCTCTCTTCCCCAGCCCCCATATAAATTTGTTTAGAATCACTTCTCTATCAGAGCCACAAAACAAAAATACCTATGATCGACTGCTGATATCTGCAGATATCATAGGATCAAATTGAATAGATGCCCATGTCAGAAAACACACTGAATACAAATATAAATTATAATATCACTTGGACTAGATAGCAGCAAATATCAAATCTAATGCAAAATTATAATGTAAATAAGTTAAAAATATTCTTGAGTCTTTCATTCACCAAAAAAATAAGTAATTAATTACTTGTTTAACAATGCAAGAAATTTACATCATCAAGGAGGGGGACTAGACTACCCTTCAATTGATGAAAAATGGATTTTTTTTAAATCTCCCTGTACTTATTTACCAGCTCTCTCCTCTAGTCAAAACCAAAGCAGCCATTTTTATGTTGGAAAATTGATGTTCTCATAACCTGAATAACTTACACAATGATAACTTGGATGGATTCAACTATCAACTACCACAAAATTAGTACAATGAACAAATATAAAAAGGCAAAACCTTATTAACATTTTTATTTGGTACTAACAAAAGGTGTATTTGGGGAGGGGGGCAGTAAACTAAAGTGAGGAAGAGTAGCATAGGGGCCAGGGATTCAATCTCAGGATCAAGCAATCTTCAAAAATACTTGAGCAGTCAAGCCACTTGAGTTATGGCTCGAGTACATACTACATAATGATCTTTTAACTACATACTGTATAATGGAAGCATTATTTCAAAATTCAAGAAACAGGGTTCCATATTTTTGAATATAATAAAAAGATTTTACAATATTCCATTTCCCTGTAGTATTAAATCCTTAATGCATAACCATAGATTAACTAATGGACAAGAGATAATGGACTCACATCCTTGTATGCAATACATTTGACTATCTCCATTTCAGTTCAACAGAAAGAAAGCACGAAAGAGACAAGACAAGATAAACATGTTCAAATTTTAGTCTGAGTTAGATATGACAATTTGAACGACACATCCAGATGCCCACAATTAATTACCTTGAATGGAGCAGAAAGAAGTAGAGAAAAGGATAACAGTATTTTGCTGCTGTGCATATAAATAAATGCATGTTTGTCTATTCATAAGTGCAATTTCAATTATGTGAATCTAGAAGCATAGTTATCAATGTCATACAGCAACACAGTGGCAAACTCTGAAAATGCCAAGGGTGGGATGACCATTATTTTTAATGTTATAACAAATTATAAATACTATATACTACACATATAATTTACTCAACAAACAAAACAAAACAAAACACCTAAAATTATAGAAATTCACAATAAATAATAAGTCACAGTTTACACCCACAATCACCATCAATCTAGGAGCTACAAGATCATAGTAATGAAGTCAAATCATGAAAGGTAGTGGTGAAATTAACAGAAAAAGAAAATAATTAATAAGATAAAAATTAGCAAAATGTAAAATGGGAAATCTAAAGGAATAACAAAGAACATCACACATGAAAAGAACAGTCTTATAAAGTGTGAAGAAACAGATGACATAGCAGAGGGAACTCTTGGAATATTCCCCAAAAAAACCCAAACAATGGTATTCTATGGGTAAAAATGGAGTTTTGAAGCCTATATCAAGCGAAAAGCTGTAATTTTTGGCCACTATTGTGGCCGCAATACTCCATTATTTGAAACTTATAGTAGTCCAGGCCACTCTGTTCAGCCACTATATGGTATTGTATTATTGACTACTCTTTTTATAATTATAATATACTGTTATTATTTATCAAGTGACAATTGTGTTTTAGGTCATTGAATGAGGTTTGGTCAAATCTAATATAAGCAATTGTAATTCTTGACTATAACTATGTTAGATGGCACAAATGTAATGATTAAAATGAGTGCGTTATTATACTATATTATCACCTATCTACCTTGACATCATCGTGATGCTCTTATCTTTTCTGGACCAACCTATTATTCTTTGCAAAGCAGAGGTAAAATGGAAGCAGTACGGTTCAAGATAAAAAAAAAAAAAAAAAAAATATATTATATAAACACCTATGAAGCACGGATACTTCAATTTGCTTCACGTATCCGTATCCGATACGATACTCTTGGATACTTCACCAATACGTGTCAATGAAGTATCCTAGCCTTTAAAAATATTATAAAAATTTTATTCAATTTTGATACTTTCAGATACTTCACCGATACTTATTAGTGATACGTATCAATAAAGTGTTCAAATTTTTGAAAATTTATGAAATACCCATTACAGCTAAATAAGATATATAAACATGTTTAATATAAAAACTAAAACTATTGGTCCTTGATGAACACGTATCTTACAAGTATCGTATCCTATATATTTTTAAATAATCGTATCGCCGATACGCGTATCGTATCGGTGCATCATAGATAAACACAAACACGCACACACATATGTGTGTTGTGAGTGAAAATATGAGAATGTCCTTCTCAGCTATAGAATTTATTTATCTTTTAAAAGTCCTGTTGTTTGATCTTCACTAAACCTAATCAAACAAAGGCAAAAATTTCCCCTTTAAGCCGAGGCTCTTATCCATGAGATGGTGCTATATTTTTACACTACACGATAATTCCCTTCCACCTTTAGATCTGCAAACCAAATCAAACCTTTTAACCCAATATATCCAAGATAAGTCTTTGTGAAATTGGAGTTATCCCTGGCATGGTTGAATTTTGCAGAAGCATAAGCACAACAAGCAAGTCCCCTTCAATAACCCTGTTTTTGTTTTAGAGAATGCCACAAGACACACACCCTTCGCAAGTAAATTACAAACAAAAAAACAATTCAGATTCCGTCGAAATATTTTATCATTCACCAATTTTTGTTTGTTTGTTGAGCAGCTAGCTCGTAAGAACTAAAGAATAAACTAATCAAAGAATAGAAACAAAACCAAACAGAGAAGAAGCAGAAAGAGCAAGAAATCACGTCGCAGAAAATTGAAATTCTGTGAGGTCACACGGTGAAGCAACCCCAAATAACAAGATAAGAAAAAGAGCATTGCGCATGGGGAAAAAAGCCAAAATAATCCCAGAAAAAGAAGAATACTAATTAAGCAAAGCAAAAGGTCAAAGATGGATCTTAGAGAAATTGGTATTTAGTAATTCAGAGATGAAGAAAAGGATAGAGAGAAGAGAGAGAGAGAGAGAGAGAGAGAGAGAGAGAGAGAGAGAGAGAGAGAGAGAGAGAGAACCTGACCTATTTTCATGGGTTTGGGTGAGGTGGAAATCCAAGTGGGATGGGACAAAGCGGTTTTCAAATTTGAAGTCAAAAATTCGACAGTAGGCTTTGGTGTGATGTGGTTGTAATTGTGTTTCTGGTGTGGGTTTGAGGTGGTGTGTACTAAGGTAGAAGGGTAACAGCAAATGTTTGTTATTTTGGACGACTGTGTTGTGTTGTGTTGTGTTGGAAACTGGAAAGAGAAAAGGGTGTGTGTGTGGGTTCTACCAGCGTGGACGCTAGTTGGAATGTGAAAGTTGGTTGAGGAAAAGGAGAGAAAGACGAGAGAGAGGGATTAGGGAAGGTTGTGAGAAAGAGAGTGAGTGAGTTGGATTGGGTTTAGGGCTTCGGGCGTGACACGTGCGAAGAAGAGGGTTACAGCTGTGGCCTGTCCGCGTCTCACTGGATTAGGTTTGAGACATTGCAAGTTTCGCGATGACTCATCTGACAACTATGTGCTTTTCTGGATAACCTTATTTAATATTTATTTATATTTCATAAAGCTTAATTACCAATTGTTATTCTATTTCATATATATTATTTACCATTTCAATTCTCCGTCTGCTGGGATGCCGCATCCCCTCTCTGTCCGGTTCCTTCCCTCCACTTCTTACTTTTTTTTTTTTAATAATATTCTTACACTATTTCAAATTTAACAACTAATAATATATATATATATATATTCGTGGAAGGTAATATAATATCTTAAATTTTCTAAAATTATTAAAAAATGTTTTACTTTATTAAATGATTTTTATAAATATATTAGAGAATTTTAAATAATTATGACTATTTTTTATTAATTAAAGAAAATTTTGTTAAATTATTTGTTATATTAATTATAAGAGATAAATATATATTTTATTTGTTTGATTGTATTTTGATTATATATTTGTTAGATTAGTATTTACAAGGGAAGAGGTAGTTAACTCCAAGTTGCCCTTTTAACTTAAAGAGTTAAGTATGTGTTAAGAGATTATGAAAGGATGTGAGTTTTTAAAAATGAGAGTTTTACAAATGAGAGTCACTTTGTACCATTCTTAGTTTCTCTCTCCAACTCAAGAATTAGGAGATCAAGAAGTCATTGGAAATCATCTCAAAATTTCACATCTCGAAAGTAAGGGAAAGTGAGTAGTCTCGCTCTAAAATGTGGGATATTTGTTGGGGGAGAGATTGTCCCTCAATCTCTTACTTGTTCATGTATGATTTGAGGAGAAATTTCGGTTATGAGTTGTATGTTATGAATTTGTATTTTGTATTATTCTTATGTATGTTATATGTGAGGTTTGAACTATATATATAACTAATTTTGTATAATTTAAATTGTTTGGGAAATTTGTGAGTGCATATAGTTCTTATAAAAAATTTCTTGATTTATAAAACAAAGTGAAGATCAATGTTAATTACATGAATAAGTGAAATTGATGTTAGACTTAAATAATTGATGGTATAATAAAGTAATATCAGACTTTAATCATGATTTTTACTTATTGGTTTTCATTTTTGTTGTTTTGGTTTCCTAATGTGCAATTTTCGCACATCTTACTAGTTTCTTATTAACTGGTGTTGTGACGGGTGTATATTTATGGTGTTGGGTGTGATAATTCATAATGTTCCTTACTCTTTTGATGTTCGGTGCCAAATGGACCTTGTCGGAGCCATTTGACATTGTTTCTATGTAAGTCTCATGTCAGGCACAGGTTTTGTAGATAGGTTTTTGACCTCTCTACGTTGGGCATGAAAATGCCTTTCCGAGCATGATAATGTTAGAATTAGGTTTTGTGATATTTACAAGAATTGTAATATTATATGTTAGATTTCCAATGTCATTAAAATCAATAAAAAGGAGATATAGAACTCAAATTATAATTTAGTGAGTAGAGGTTATACTGTTAGATTTAGGTTGAAATATTGTAGTTTTGTCATTTTTAAAAATAGTATATGCAAAATCAACTATTGAGGTTAATATAGAAGTTGTAGATAATTATCTTAACTTTATAACAAATTTAAGATCAACTTGATAGCATGTATGTAACTCTAGATATCATGTTTGGACCACATGAGGCCATAGAAGATTAATTTATAGAAATACAATTTGTGAGTGGTGATGTTGTATGGATTTACCCTTTAAGTGTTTGATCTTATTAGTGACTTGAGATACCTATATCAATGTTTAGGAAAGTGAAATCATGGAAGAGATGACATTTTCTCCTAGGCTACTCTATGAGTGCTTTCAAGTAAGGTTGAAATGTTTTATTGGTGTCACATGCATATAGACTAGTGAAGTTCTTGTGTATAATATTGATGTGAATCATGACCTTCAATGTGTTAAGTGAAGTTGAGTTGTGATTGTTATATTATGAAGAATGTGTTGTATACCTTCTTTATATCACTTGTTTTTATAAGTGCATGCTACCTTGTTGTGTGTGGATACCCAACGTACCATATCTTACATAAGTAGCTAGTGTGAGATGTTTCTCATTCTCTTTTTGTTTGTCTTGTGTTCTTAATATGTTTTGCAAGTGAGAATCACCCTAAGGATGATGTTGGAAATGCGACTTAGGCCTTAGATCTATCGAGCTTTAATAGGATGTGATATCAAGACAATAGCTAGGACTTCATATTTTTTTGTTGGTTTATTTCATATTAGGATTTATGTTAATTCTTGTATCAATTGTAATGACTTGTTAGTCATCTATTTAATATCTATGATTTGTTGCATTTTACTATGTGATACCACTATCTAAGGGTATTTGTGAACCTTGTTTATTCAATAAAATTTAATTTTGAACTTTTTTTTCCTATCTTTTTTATATTATATGATTGTGCAAGGATGTGAGATAAAGAGTGTCACACTTAAATTTTTTTAGCTAAATATTATTTTAACATAGATAAGAATCAATTTTGAGGGTACTAGGTCAACCCTCCCATGTTCCAGAGCAAGTCTTGCAACTATTGGGTCAATAAACTTGGTTACCAATTTCTACTATCTAATTGTTAAGTAAAATATATTGAATAAATTTAGGTATTGTGTCATACCTAATGTTGGTGTTATTCTCTAATTAAAATTAAAATTTTATTTTGATAATATATGCTTATATTTAATGTAGGCTTCATTAATATGTACTTATATATATTATTAAGGTAAAATTTTAATTTTAATCGGAGAATAACACCAATAGTATCTTTGGTGTTATACATAAGTTTTGTCAAATATATATTTTTGGCTGAATTTTATTCTTTTGTCACTTTTTCTTAATAAGTTTAATTTAATCTTTTAATATTATTTTTAATTTACTCACTTAATTTTTAAAAATATAATTGTTAATTGTGACTCAAAATCTTTTGTATCATTTTCATGCTCTATAAAGTATTTCATTTGTATGATCTTATGGGTTCACTCTGTCTCCATTTGTCGATGAGTTCATTTTGATGGGTTCAGACTATCCAATTTTATAAGACTTACTCTTAGAGTCTTAGATATATATATATATACACACACACATATATTATTTTGGAATCCTTTCTAAATGCGTGATACAGAGAGAGAAAAATGTAAGAGCAAAGTGATAAGTTTAAGCACAAAGAGTTGGGAAGAAGAACAAGAGTTGCCCTTTTATAAAGACTTGATCTTGCTTTCAGATAGTAGAATTTTCTCTCTCATGGATATAGGTCAAATTGATTGAACCACGTAAATATGTTGTGTTCTCTTCTAGCAATCTTTTTTTCATTTGCTATTACTTTTTTACTTGCATTTATGTTTTTACATTCTTGTTAGATTTTCTCGCTTCTATGATTTTGGTTTTTTTCTTGCATAGAATTTATTTTTATTTGTTTTCTTTCTTATTTCAGAATCATTGGTTGAAATATATATATATATATA